GGAGCCGCGGCCAGAGGCGGCAGTGTCCCGAGCCAGGCTCAGGGGCCGCAGTGGCCGCCGCGGAGCGAGGCTGCCTCCAGGGAGCGTCCGGGCGCAGAAGGGTTAACGGGCCGCTGGGGCCGCGCGGAGCAGGTACAGACCTCCCCCTCCCCCGCCCCGGGAGCCCCGGCCCCGGCCGCCCTCTCTCCCCGGGTCCCGTTAGAGCCCCCGCCGCGCTCGCCAGCGCCCGCCCCCGCGCCCCGTGCCCCGCGGTCGCGCCCCAGCCGCGACCCCAGCCCCAGCTCTTGTAGCCTCGGAAGGTCTTCCAGTCCCTGGGGTCGAATTTCTGGGGAGGGCGTTCTGATCCTGTGGAACTCTGGCCCCATCACCCGGGCGGAAAATCAGCCAAAATTCCTACTAAGTCACGGAGCGAAGTTGGAAAACATACCCAGGACCTCCCCGCACGCGCTGGCGTCCCCTGCTCTCCTCCTCCAGGAAGGGTGTTCCTGGACGGTGTGTGCCCCTGCCACCCCCTCCAGTTCTGGAGATGGGGCTGGGGACCCTGGGAGGGATGCCGACGGGTGCCCCTGATCCAGCTCAGCCTGATGATTAGAAAGGAAGGACACCTGTTGGAATGGTCGTCCAGGACCCAGGAGAGGCTGGCACAGTGAGGACAGAGTTCTGACCCAGGCTAGGGAGTCTCCAGACAGCCCTGAAACATGCTGTTCCACCCCCTGCAGCAGTGACCCATTTCCCAGAAGTGGGTCCCTCTGGGGGTGAAGGGTGTGGCCCTTCCCAGGTCTCCCCTTCTTGATCCTCACTGGCCAGTGTGGAGGTGTGGCCAGGAGGAGCCCAGGTTTGTCCAGACCAGCCTCCAGCCTGGCACCAGGGTGACCACTGCTGACCTCTCCTTTCCTCACCCTGGGCAGAGAGACACACCAGATGAGGAACATGCAAAGGGGGAGAAGCACAAATGTGTGTCTGTTTCTGCAGCGGAGGGGGTGTCGGCCCCCTGCCCAGCTGTGCAGGGGGTGGGGTAGGACTTTTCCAGAGAGGGAGCCAGGCCTGGCCAGGGCTCCAGGAGTTCACGTCACCCCCACCCCCACCCCTCACTTCTCCAGGGAACTGCCGAAGCCAAACCCAGCTCAGGATGGGATTATGTGTACTGGGTAGACCCATAGAGACAGCAAGATACAGACCCTGGGGGGAGCAGAGAGAAGCAGAGGCTGAGAGGGAGTGGAAAGGGTGGGTGCCCAGCAGCAGAGAAGGGGCAGACAGTGATCACACCCCCATCTCTCCTCTTCAGCATCAAGGCACAGAGTCAGGCAGAGAGCTGAAGGCTTGGGTGGACCATTGGCCCTTCTCTGGAGCCCCTACGCCCCCATCAGGGTGGAGCTGGTGACCTCAGTGGCCAGCCCAGCGGAGGAGGGGGGGGGAAGAGCAGCCATCAGCAACCCCTTACCAACCCCAAGCAGCTGAGGTGACCCTGTGCACTCAGGCTCGTCCTCCGCAAACCTTCACTTACATTTCCACGTCTTGGGGTCTCAGGGAGGGGAGTGGGGCTGAATGTTGCTACCCCCAAGCACATTCCTGCCCTCCCCTCTGCCATTTTCCTGCCCCTGAGCTGGCCCACCTCAGCATTAGCTCCTTGGATTCCTCTCCCGGGTGCCTTTCAGATCCAACAGAAACATTTTTTTTTTTTCCTGGAAAGCAGAACTAAGAGCGGGTTGAGGAGTGGGGGTGGGGAGGGCTCGTGGGAGGGAGCTAGGGGCTGGAGGGGTGGGGCAGCTGTGGCTTTGAGACCAGGGGAGGTTTCGGAGCTCCACCTCCCTGCTAATGGAAGCTAGACTTGAGGAAGGACTTCCCGGCTCCTCAGAGTGCGAGGTGTGTGACTGGGGAGCAACGGCCCCTCTGGCTGCATCCCTCCTGCCCGGGGGGCCCCCCTGCCCATCATGGTCGCACCTGAAATGAGCCTTCGTTACAGGGAGGTGTCCCCTTACATCGCAAGGGGAAAATCACCTGCTTCTCTACAGATCAAACCATTGGCCCACTTAGTTTATCCCTGGGCTAGAAAGTGTTTGAGGCAGAGATGTGCCTGGGGCTCCAGAAGTTTTAAAGGGAAGAAAATGCTGGGAGGCAGGTAGGAAAATGCTGGGAGGCAGGAGCGGCCTCCTGTCACCTCCTCAGAGCCGGCATCTGGCATGTCCTCGCCCAGGCCTCCCTCCTCAACCGTCTGGGACCCCTGGGAGGGCGGGAGGTGGGACCAGAAGAAAATCATCTTAGGGGAGATGTGCGCGCCTGTGTGGCCTGTGTGGCCTGAGCTGGCCTGGAAACAGCCCCTGGTTGGGATGGGGGAGGGGCTGAGGAGTTCCTGCAGGCTGAGGGGAGGGGACTGGGCCACAGTCGGGAGGCCGAGGTCAGACCCCCACCCTCCAGTCTCGGCAGGCGGGAAGGGGCAGCATTCCTTCCCGCTCTCACCCTTAGTGTCAGAAAAGGGTGGGACGCCCCTCCCCGCCCGAACCTCCATCCTCATTCGATGTCCTGAGGAGCCATCCCTGCCAACCCCAGCTCTCTGGAGACTGGAGAGGTGACCACCGGGCTTCTGTCCCCGCAGAGCGCGCCCCCTGCACGCTCAGATGCCGGAGTAGCGTGTTTACTTCCGGTCCCCTCTCCCGGCCTGGGGCTTCGAGGGAGGAGCGATGGAGAAGTGGGCGGGCAGGTAAGCTGTGGGGCTGCCGGCTGCGGGGGCGACTCTGCTCCTGAAAGTGACGGATAGGCCACTACTGGGCGGGGCGGGGGCAAGTGATGAGTGACTTCTGCTTTCTGAGAAGCTGGCATCAGGATGCGGGGAGCCTGCTGGGGGTGGGGGTGGGGTGTTGTGACACCTCCTCTGGCCGGTTTGCAGGTCCCAGTTGTGCCTGATGCTGCTTCTGTCCCTTCCTGAGCTCTGCCTGGATCAGGAGGTAAGCCAGGCACCAGAGGCTGGGACCCTGCCCCCTTCCTATCTTCCACCCCACTCCTACAGGCCTTGGAGTGATGGCCCCTTTCGCATTTGCCCTCCCAGCCTCCCTCCCACCCCCCAGCTCACTAACTCTTTGCCAAATAACATCAAGTCTCACCTGTGCTACCGAATGTGCCCTCAGGCCAGTAACAACAGCCCCAGCCCTCAGGCACTGGAGTGGATACTCTGCACAGTTACGCGAAAATCCTTCTAATTTTGTCTGACCTTTTTGTCCACATAGGTGTTGTCTGGACACTCTATTCAGACACCCCCTGAGGAGGGCCAGGGCCCTGAGGGCATCTGGGGTCCTTGGGACCAGTGGGCCTCTTGCTCCCAGCCCTGTGGAGTTGGGGTGCAGCGCAGGAGTCGGACCTGTCAGCTCCCTACAGCTCAACACCAGGGCCTGCCCTTCCCACCCCGGCCCCCAAGACACCCAGAAGCTCTGCTCCCCCAAGGTCAGGGCTCCAGACCCCAGACTTCCCGAGAAACCCTCCCCCTGTACAGGCCACAGCCTCGGGGAAGAGGTGGCCCCTTTCGAGGTCCTGCTTCCCAGTTAGGGAGAGCAGAGGCCCAGGAGATTCCAGCAGCTCGGAGGTGAGGCTGGGATCCAGGGAAGGGTGGGACTTGGGTCAGGGGCGGGGCTTGGGACTGAGGGACCGGGAGTAAAGGATGCGTGGCAGCGGGAGGCTTATCTTTGGCGCTCAAAGTAGACGCCGGGAGGAGGAGGGGGGGGGGGCGGGGGCCCGGCCCAGCCGGGGAAGAGGCTGGGTCGGACGGAGCTGGCCCGAGCTGTGACCGCGTGTCTGCTACACCTTCTCAGATCCCGAGTTCGAGACCCCATCAAGCCGGGAATGTTTGGTTATGGGAAAGTGCCCTTTGCTTTGCCACTCCATCGGAACCGCAGGCACCCCCGGAGGCTGCGCAGATCCGAGATCCCCCACACCTCAGTTCTTTCATCCCTGACTCCAAGAACACAGCCATCTTCCACAAACCACACAGCTCAAGCTCAGCTCCCTCCTACAGAACCGTCTTCCCGCCCCCTGTCCCCCCCAGCAGAGCCCGGAAGCCCCCATGCTGCTCAGACAGAGGGGCCTTCTAGAACCAAGCCTGCCCCCACACGGCCCCACCCCAGAGCCTCTGGCACAGACATCCTCTTGTCCATCCCCTCCCCAGAGGACAGTAGCTCTTTCCACATGCCCCCTCAGCCAAGAATGCCAAATTCCCAGGGTCGGGCCAGTCTCCAGGTGCCAGACAGGCACCCTAATCCTTTCCTTTCTGCCCCCCGGGGCAGAGGTCACCAGAGCCAGGAGCAATGGAGTCCTGGGGGGAATCTTCAAGGGTCCCTCATGGAGCCTGCCCCTCACTACCCAGATGGCTGGTTGCCTCTGCTGAGTGCTGGTCCCCACTCCAGTTCCCTCTGGAGCCTCTTTGCTCCCAGTAGCCCTGTCCCAAGATGTTCTGGGGAGAGTGAGCAGCTGAGAGCCTGCAGCCAAGCGGTGAGTTCTTCCTCAGACCATCCCCTCCCCAGACTTGCAATTCTGCTCCCCTGACCCTGAGTCTGGGGCCTCGGCTTGTCAGATCGGGACCTGAGGGAGAAGGGCCTTGGCATCTGACCTCCTCAGGGTAGGGGCCTCGGAGCTCTTCCACAGACCCGACCTTCCCTCCCACACCCCCAGATCCAGCCCTGACCCACACCCCCATTTTCCTCCCCAGCTTTGACTCCTCTGTATCCCCCCCACCTCAGCCCTGCCCCCCTGAGCATCCAGACCCCCGGGCCCTGCAGTGTTCAGCCTTTGACTCCCAGGAGTTCATGGGCCAGCTGTACCAATGGGAGCCCTTCACAGAAGGTGAGGTTTGTAGCCCCCCCTGGGGAAGCTGAACTGGCTTAAGATTGGGGGATGGCAGGAAGAGGGAGACACCCAGCCCCTCTAGATCTCCTCTGGAGGCCCTTGTATTTCCCTTTTGTGAAGTATTTTCTTTTATTTCCCAGGGCCAGGGCCAGGGTGAAGAGACAGCACAGGCACAGAAAGGGGAGTGGGTTTCCAGACAGGACGCAGCTGTCAGATGACGATGGGATCATCAGCAGAGGGATCGGGCTGGGAGGGGGAGTGTCCAGAGGCACCTTCTGGCTGGCCTCCTCTGGGAAGTCCATCCCAGGAGGTGGGGTCGACATGAGAGGGGCACGGTCAGGGAGACAGCAGGGTGTGGTGCACCGTGGGCCCTGGCTGCTGTAGACCACCTGTTCCCAAGTTCCCATCCACTTGATTTTAGGCCTGTGTCGGCTTGATGCCAAGAAACCCCTTTGTGAGCTCACGTGATCATAGGTTTCAAGTATCTCCTCTCTCACGATTCACAGCCTCTTCACTGGTCTCCGTGACCTCAACTGATCTGACTCAACTTTTGTGTGACCCTCAAAGGAACCTTTGAGAAAATACAATTGTCATATTCCCTTCATCCTAGTGACGTAGTCAACCTCAGGATGCCCTATAGCTAATTCGGGACCTTTGCCAGCTGGCCTCTCGCCAGGGACCTCAGCTAACCACCCTTCTACCCTGTTTCTTAGTTCAGGGCTCCCAACGCTGTGAGTTGAACTGCCGTCCTCGTGGCTTCCGCTTCTATGTCCGTCATACCGAAAAGGTCCAGGATGGGACCCTGTGTCAGCCTGGAGCCCTAGACATCTGTGTGGCCGGACGCTGTCTGGTGAGGGAGGATGGTGTGTCTGTGTGTGTGCACACGCATGCACACACACACATAGGCATGCACACACAGTCTCCTTAGTCATCATCACAGAAACAAAACCCTAGGCTGAGATTGCACAGAGGAAAGTTCTTCCCTGCCCAGCTGGAAGTGAGAACAGAACCAGGAGGTGAACTGTAGGAAGGACCCCCTCAGGCATATACACACTTCGGTGGAGGCTGGCTGGGGCTGGTGGGCTGGCAGAGAAACACATTCTCACTTGCAGTAAAGATCAAGGTGCAGGGCAAGCTGGAGAGTCCGAAGAGGATGAGGCTGGGGTGCGGTGGTATCTCGTCTCAAGCGGTCCCTGCCTCACTCTCCCCCAGAGCCCCGGCTGTGATGGGATCCTCGGCTCTGGCAGGCGTCCAGATGGCTGTGGGGTCTGTGGGGGTGATGATTCCACCTGCCACCTCATCTCAGGAAACCTCACTGACCGGGGGGGCCCTCTGGGCTATCAGAAGATCCTGTCGATTCCTGCTGGAGCCTCCCAGCTCCAGATCGCCCAGCTCCGGCCCAGCTCCAACTACCTTGGTGAGTTCTCTGGATTTCCTGAGTCCTGGGTCTCCATTCCATTCCTGGTCTCCTGGTTCAGCCCTCTACACCTGCTCTGAACACAGCAAATGGGCCAAGCAGAGAGAAGTCGGGGCCTCCTTGCCCTGTGGAGAGAGCGAGAGAACGGGGGCATCTGGGGCTCTGCATGGCTTAGGGAGTGCTAGGAGAAGGACATCACGACTGATCTGGTGTCCTGATCTCCAATCTCCAGCCCTTCGAGGCCCTGGGGGCCAGTCCATCATCAATGGAAACTGGGCTGTGGATCCCCCTGGGTCCTACACGGCCAGTGGGACTGTCTTCCTGTACAACCGTCCTTCTCGAGAGGAGGGCAAGGGGGAGAGTCTGTCAGCCAAAGGGCCCACTACCCAGCCTGTGGATGTCTACGTGAGCTTGGGGCCCAGGAAGCTGGACTGCTGGGGGGTGGTGGGAGGCTTTCCCTCTGAGGGCAAAGCTGTGGGTCTCAAGATGGAGGGAAGGCGAGTGGTATGCCCTTCTTGCTTCCCCAGACAATTCATACCTTCTCTTTCTCTTCCCAGGTGATCTTTCAGGAGGAAAACCCAGGCATTTTTTATCAGTATGTTATCTCTTCACCTCCTCCAGATCTTGAGAGCACCACCCCAGAGCCCCACCTCCCCCACCTCCAGCAGGGTAAGACTCTGCTCCCCAGACTTGGGAGGCAGGGAGGGACTGAAAGGGGAGTCTGGAGGCAGTGGGGTGCATTTGATTCATCTACTCCACTGTCCTTGCATAGAGATTTTGAGGGTAGAGCCCCCACCCGCTTTGGCGCCCCGCCCTGCGCGGACCCCAGGCACTCTCCAGCGTCAGGTGCGGATCCCCCAGATGCGCGCTCCACCCCATCCCAGGACTCCCCTGGGGTCTCCGACTGGATACTGGAAACGAGTGGGACACTCGGAGTGCTCAGCATCCTGTGGGAAAGGTGAGACTTTGTGTACCAGCCTGGATTCCGGGCACCCGCAGCCCAGATCCCTGACTTGGCACGCCTGATCCCACATTCAGGAGTGTGGGTCCACACCTTGACTCTGTGCCAAGTCAGATTCCAATGCCTGGGGCCCCACTGACGCTGGGCTCTGAGCCAGACTGCCTCCCCTGGTTTCCTTCTCATCCCTTTCAGGTGTTTGGCGCCCCATTTTCCTCTGCATTTCTCGTGAGTCAGGGGAGGAACTGGATGAACACAGCTGTGCCATGGGAGCCAGGCCCCCAGACCCCCTGGAGCCCTGCCACGGTCCCCCGTGCCCTCCATAGTGAGTATGACCCCCAGGGAGGGCTAGGGTCCTAAAACACAGCAGCCGTCCCTGCTCAGGATCCCACCTGCATTCTGGGCCCAGTACCCAAGGTCTCCTGGCTGCAGACAGACAGCATGTCAGTAGAAAGGTTTACATTCCCCAGACAGCAAGAAAACCCCGGCAGCCTGAGCCCCACAAGGGAACTCAGATTCCAGGTTCTGAAGATGCTCCTTCTCTGCAGGGCCTCCCCACCCCAAGCCCATCATCCCTTGCCCCACATATGGCAGCCCCACGCATCTCTGTGTCTCTGTTTTCTTCCTCTGCATCTCTGCCTCTCCCATGCCCCACCACGCCCACAGCTGGGAGGCTGGCGAATGGACATCCTGCAGCCGCTCCTGTGGCCCTGGCACCCAGCACCGTCAGCTGCGCTGCCGGCAGGAGTTTGGGGGGGGTGGCTCCTCCGTGCCTCCGGAGCGCTGCGGACATCTCCCCCGGCCCAACGTCACCCAGCCCTGTCAGCTACGCCTCTGTGGCCATTGGGAGGTTCGTTCCCCCTGGAGCCAGGTGAGTGGGACTGGGTCAGGAGGCTGCCAGAATGGGAAGGACCCTAGATGAAAGGCACCAGTGAGTTAGAGCAGTGGTTTTTCCATTTTTTTTTTTTTTTTAATCAGCAGAAGCTTTTTGACTGACAAGATCTCTTGTGAGACCCCCATCTATAAAGGAGATAAGACACTGAACCAGGGGTTCCAGCCCAGAGCCACCTGCTCAGCCTGCCCCTCAGCGCATAAAGCCATGTAACTGCCCAGTTAGGGACGAAAGGCAGGTCCTGGTTCCCAGGCCACAGACCTGGAGCTGGCGGCTAGGGAGGAAGCCTGGGGGTCCAGGCTCTGGGATGCTCTCTTACCCTCAGTGCTCTGTGCGGTGTGGGCGTGGCCAGAGGAGTCGGCAAGTTCGCTGTGTGGGAAACAATGGTGATGAAGTGAGCGAGAGGGAGTGTGCATCAGGCCCTCCACGGCCCTCCAGCAGAGAGGCCTGTGACATGGGGCCCTGTACTACAGCCTGGTTCCACAGCGACTGGAGCTCCAAGGTGGGCCCTACACCCCTTATCCAAGCCCCACGTCCCTGGTGCCCCACACCCAGGACCCTTCTTTCCAACACATGTCAGTATGCATAGTACACGTCAGTAGCCCTACTGTGTGCTAGATGCTGCTGATGCCAGAAACTCAGAGCTAAGTGAGCAAAGCTCACATTAGGGTCCTGGATTCCCAGCACAGGTTCTGCTTATCTGGCTGGTACCCTGGGCACTCCCTAACTCTGGGGATCCAGGACACACCACCCTCACCTCTCCTCCTCCCCTACCCATCACCTTCTCAACAGTGCTCAGCCGAGTGTGGCACAGGAATCCAGCGAAGGTCTGTGGTTTGCCTGGGGAGCGGGGAGGCCCATGGGGCGGGCCAGGAGGAATCAGGAGCAGGGACCAGTGAGCAGAGCTGTGCGCCCGGAAGCCGTCCCCCTGACATGCGTGCCTGCAGCTTAGGACCCTGTGAGATGACTTGGTGCTGGTACACGGGGCCCTGGGCTGAGGTGAGCCAAGAGCCTGGGAGGGGGGTGCCCATTGGTGGGACTCCCTGTGGGCCGGTGGGAGTGATCCCTGTTCTTTCTGCCCCTTGCACACCCTCCCTTTCCTGTGTATCAGTGTTCCTCGGAGTGTGGCTCTGGCACACAGCGTAGAGACATAATTTGTGTGTCCAAACTGGGTACTGAGTTCAACGTGACTTCTCCCAGCAACTGTTCCCACCTGCCCAGGCCTCCTGCCCTGCAGCCCTGTCAGGGGCAGGACTGCCAGGACCGGTGGTTTTCCACGCCCTGGAGTCCGGTGAGTGCCTGGCTCCCTCACCCTGCTCTGCATGGACTTCCAGGGAAAGGGGGGCTCCTCTTATGGTATCCCCACTGCATCCCAGGATGAGGCCAGCTGCGATGGTTTACCATTGTCTTACTCCCTATAGACGTGGGGGACCCGTCCATGTGGGATTTCACAGTGTTCCAGGAGAGCCCCCACCCCCCATACTACTTTCAGGGAAGGTGGTGGGGTTCAGGAGGAGCCTAGGTCACAGCGAAGGTCTGATTTGATAGTTGGGGTCTCCCCAGTGTTCTCGCTCCTGCCAGGGGGGTGTGCAGACAAGGGAGGTCCAGTGCTTGACCGCCAACCAGACCCTCAGCGTCCGATGCCCTCCTCACCTGCGGCCATCCAGGAAACAACCCTGTAACAGCCAGCCCTGCAGCCAGCGCCCCGGTAAAGAGCCCCTTTTTCCCCCTAACCCTAATACACTGGACTTAACTGAAGTGTGGGGGAGATGAGAAAGGACCAGTGGGAGTGGGCACTGCACCTCCAAACGGAAGGGTCTGGGTGACTGTCTTGTGCCCCCTGGCCTCCTCTGTCCCCAGATGATCAGTGCAAGGACAGCTCTCCACATTGCCCCCTGGTGGTACAGGCCCGTCTCTGCGTCTATCCCTACTACACAGCCACCTGTTGCCGCTCTTGCGCCCATGTCCTGGAGCGTTCTCCCCCAGAGCCCGCCTGAAATGAGTCCAAGAGACCCTCTCCTCATGGTTTCCACCATCAGTCACCCACCCATCAGCCCACTCTATATCCTCTGGCTCTCCAGCCTGCCCTAGTCTCATCAGGGATGTCCCCTAGGGTGGTTGTGGGCGGCAAGATAACCATCACGATGTGTGTGGCTGGGTCTGTGTGCGGTTGAGGGGATGTGTGCACATAGGCCCCACGTGTGTATCTGGGTCCGCGTGGATGTGTGTGCTCACACACATGTATTCTCAAAAAAAGAGGTTAAACTGAAGAGGAATGGGGAGGGACCATGCCTGTTTCCCTGAGACTTTTCTAGGCTGAGAGCTCCTTAGTAATCCAGACTGCCTGGCGACTGGCTTCTCCAACCCCAACTTTGTGCCCTGCACTTCAGTTCTCATGTTCAGGCCTCACATCTTCTAAACCACCCATTTGTCCTCCAACCCCTCCCCCCATACTTAGTCTCTCTATCCCTACCTTTCATAATCAGCTAGGGATGAGGGTCAGCCACTGCCAATCCTGCTTTGCCCCAGAAAGAGAGACTACCTCCCCAGAGCAGGGACCAGCTGGGCAGAAGATGGAAAAAAGAAAGGCTAGAACAAGACACCCTAGCCCCTGCTCCCGCTCCCCACCTCCTAAAATGATTCCCACCCCAGAACTAATTTATTTTTTATTAAAGATGATTATGACAAACGAGAAAGAGGTTCTTTATTGTCCTGATGGGAACCCAGCGACTTGGGCCACCTAGAAAAGCAGTGTGAGGTCAGAATGAGGGGTGGGAAGGGGAACAGCGCCTAGAGCCCAGGCGGAGAGTCTGGGCCCAGAAAGGCCAATGAGTGAGCCCCAATCATGGGAGAGGATCCTGGCCAACCTAGGCCCTGCAGGTTGGTCACTGGCCACTAGAGGTCACCGCTTCTCCCGCTTTAGGTAAAGAGTTGGAAGCTTGCTTCCAGAGCTGAGGAGAAACTGCAGGGCCTGTGGTGGGTTTCTCAGTAGGCCGAGTCTTTCTATAAAATCTCTTGGAATCTAGTAGCCCTGCTGTCAATGGCAGCTGGCTTTAAAGGGTTTGTTTTGTTTTGTTTTGTTTTTCCTGTTCTCTTTTTTTGGCCCTGCCTGCCTCCCCCGTCTTTTCTGCTATCACTCATTTATTTCTCTATTAGGATCTTGGTTTATTATTGCTTTTGCTAGGGTAGGGGTAAATAAATTGATTTATGCCCCTCCCCCTTCCCTCAGCGGAAACGGCTGGAGGAGGAGGAGCCTGGCCTGGCTCTAGGGGTTGAGGGCGGGGTTGAGGGCGGAGCCAAGTCAGTACTGGATGTCCTGCCAAAGACACATTCTTCAGAGATGTATCACGCTTGTCTCCCTCCCTCCTTCGCCCTTGTCATCTCTCAAGGTAAATAGCTTGCTAGAGGTGGTGTGTGAGTGAGCAGCCTTTTACATATAATACAGATCCTTTCCCTGACCCCGGCAATTCTGAGGTCTGAGTGCAGGTCTCCACTTCCGGAAGCTACACTTCCAGGGGTCCCTGTGCCTAGGAGAGGAAGGGGGATGCAGTGCAACAGAAAAGATTCATCCGCATTAGAGGCCTCCCTCTTCCCATCCCTGTACCTCAAGTCTGGCCAAGTAAGACCGTTAATAAAGGCCTGCGGAAACAACTGAACTCTGCTGTTTCCTGAACACATCAAAATCTCATGAAGGATACCAGGACTTCTCTAGCAGCTCCCTGGTGTCATACTGCTGCCTTGGGACTTAGACTCTCCCTGGGTTGGAAGTGGCTGAGAAGGAAGACCTTGGGCAACTTCTTGGGAGGACAGTAGGTGAGGAAGGAGGCCAAGGGAATGAGGGAAAGGAAAATGAAACTAGCCCAAAGGGAACAAGTGAGGAAAGAGGGTACAAGGCAAGCCCGATGTCAATGTCTCTGAAGACCCTGAGCCTCAAGAGGAGGTGTCAGACATGTTCCTCTCTGTAGTGAACCTGTGAGGGGATCAGAGATGGGGGGGACTAGGGAAGTGGGGCCTGAGAGCCAGCCGGGTGGATACTGAGAGCTGAAGGCGGAGTCCTAACATGGAGGGAGGGGTGACAGTGAGTAGCAGGGGCCCTCCCAGCGATTCCTGGAAGCTGCAGCCTGGGCGGTGGCCCCAGCTCAGCTGACTTCCCTGAAGTTCCCTCCCTTTTAGGGCCTCTGAGGGCTGTTGCTGGGCAGGTTTGGAGTTTGGCCTGAGCCTGAGAACCAATCACAGGTGGGCAATGCAGCCACAGCCCCTCTTAGGGTTCCCCCAACTTCCGCACCTCCTTGCTCTTTCTGGTTGCCCCTGACCTCCCTCACAGCGACCAGCCTCTGACTTCTCAGGATATGGGCTTTTGTTTGGGGGTTTCCCCCTGTCCCCTTTCATTTTATTTTAGAGAGAAAGAGTGTGAGCTGGTGGGGAAAGAGAATCTCAAGCAGGCTCCATACTCAGCCCAGAGCCTGACACTGGGCTCGATCCCATGACCCTGAGAGCATGACCTGAGCCAAAACCAAGAGTCAGACCCTCTACCAAATAAGCCACCCAGGGGCTCCTCCCCTTTCATTTGAAAGCTAAGTAGGATTCAGTGCAGCCCCTAAGGATTCTTTCCTCGGGTCACTGAAGTCAGTATGGGGTCAACATGGAAGCTTTCAGGAAGGGGAATTTGACCCTGAGCAACCCTTTTTCCTGGTCCCATAGAGGGTAGTAGTGTGGCCAGACACCTCTCTGTTGACCTCTGAAACCCTCTAGAGGGACTTGGGATAGAGGAAGCTGCAAGCCAAGGCCAGAGAGATGTGGTAGAGGGGCCTCTAGGCTTGGTGCACTGGGGGGAATTTAGGGAAGGACTCAGAGGAACTGGACCCCTGAGAATTGAGGTGGGTGGGGGTGGGGTGGTTATAGGAACAATCTTGATATGCACAAGAGAGAGCAAGCGTGCAGAGGCCAGCCAGTGTCTTGCCGAGGGCTCCTCATTTCTCAGTGTGTGTGTGACAGGGGGGAAGGAGGGGGTGAACTTATGAGGTCTCAATTCAGTTAGGTCAGAATTCCTCTCCCCTCCCCCAACCTAGCTTCCCCAGGGTAACTACCCAACCCAATCAAGCTGCAGCCTTCAGACTAAATTTATCTCCTAGACTTCCCCACCCCTCTGGGCCTCCTTGCAAGCAGGTGCTCACAGCTGCAGGGGTGAGTCTGTGGAGACCCATACTCCTCACCCCAGCAGCTTCAGTGCCTGCTAACTAGGAGTGAGACAGAGCACAGGGTCCACTGGCTGGCCTCCCGGGATGGCATGAGTGTCTCAGCCTTGAGGCTCCCTCTCCCAGGAGTCCTCGAGAGCAGAAATATGGTTGGAGGGTCTAGGCAGTGGGAGGGCGGAGGGATAGAGTGGGAACAACATGCCAGGAGAAACTCCCCTCCAAATTCTCTCCGACCAGATCCTCTTTAATGTCTCCCTCTCCCCTTCTGCCTAGTTTTACAGATAGAGACTTCATTTTAACTTAACATGCTCCCCCAGCAGAGTAAGCTGAATCAGGGAGAACTCCCCTCTCCTTGCACTACAGAGAATCAAACCAGAATCAAGAGATTGTAGTTTGGGCGTGAGTGGTGGGGCTGGAGGTTCCCACATTCCTACCCTCCTCCCAACATCACTCAAAACCACCATCGCAGGTGCTGGGAGGCAGCTGGGTGGGAAAGTTAGAGCAGAGGGGGCATATTTGTCACAGGCAGGTGATGAAGAGGTGTTAGCTAGAAAGGGTGGGGGTTGGGGGGGACTCTTCCACAGGAAGTAGAAAGCCTCAGGAAAGTACCTAAGTCTGAGTCGATTGAGAGCAATAAACAGGTTGCGTTAACTTCAAACTAGACAGCACAAGTTCTGACTCTGACTTTGGGCTCCTTGACCCTGGAGACTGGGGAAACTCTAGGAGGTGTTTCAAGGGTTGAGGTCTGAAGGTAGAATTTGAGGGAGGAATGTGCAAGAGTAGTCCAAAACAAGGTGTACATGGGCATGGCAGGGAGATCCTAGTGAAACAACCAGCCACATGAGCTGAAGGGGAGGTGCAGAAGGAAGCAGATGGACCAGAGCATTTTCTCAGGCAGCACCAGAGAGCTGCTGGAGTGGCCTGGGAAAGAACCTCAGTAGTTAGAGGAGGAATGGGTTCAACTTCAGGCTCTCAGGTTGGGGTTAGAATGTGCATGCCGTACTTTTCCGTGCCTTGCCTGTCTTTCCTCTCCACTATTACCAAGCTCTTCCAAAGCTGTTGTTCCTTAAAACTGAAAACAAGCCACCTCATTTCAAAACACACACACACACACACACACACACACACACACACACCACACAACCTCATTTCGACATGAAGTTATTTCCCTATTTCTGTTTCTCTACTTTGCCTGATGAGGGATTTCTGAGAAATGAAGAAATGTCACCTCCCACAACCTCAGTCTGCAGTTTTGTTTTTTGTTTTCTGAGATGAAGAGAGGGTTAGAGGAAAGGAGTATACTGCTACGCATACAACATTAATTCAAAACTTGACCACATAAGAGAAATGCCCTTCCCAAAGCCCATCAGCCTGGGTGGGCCCACCTTGCCTTAGATCTGGGCTTTCAGGGTCTCAGGAAATAAACAAGCCATCCTCTGAGGAAATTTCAGTAACAAAGCAGCGAAACCTAATAGCTGCTCTTTACAGCAGCCCAGCTGTCCCTCCTGGCCACCATTCCCAACAAGGACAGACGGTGGGTAGGAACTGCTCCAGGAGTGGAGGTGTGAGCTGAGGGTGGGGTTCATGAAAGATCTGAGCACAGAAACCTCCAAGGCGAGGTTTCCCAGGTGAAACCCCTACCTCTCTCTGAAGTCTCAACACCTGAGAGACAGCTCAGCCAAGTAGGGGGGGGGGACTCAAATGGGTAGCAAATTTTTTGAAACCAGCTCCCCGTACTAGACAAGAAAATTAACCTTTTTTTGGGGGGGGGGGGCACAGAACTGAAGACATTTCTTAATCAAAACAAAGTAGAAAAGTCATCTAATCCAGGATGAAACCTAACAGTTAAACATTCTTTTCCTTGTCTGCTTCCTTGGCTGGCTTTCCCAGCACACCTTGTCCCAGGCTAACTTGAATAAACACACACATGTGACCACATGAGGGCGGGAAGAAAACCAAGTGGGGGTGGTGAAATTCTGAATGGAATGCAGCCCCAGCTAGTTAGGGGGCCCAGGCTAAGACCTCTGGCACTGGCTGCGGATTTATACAGGCAGTGAAGCCAAAACAATGAGCTCATGGGCAAGAATGCAGCCTGTGGGGAAGACTGGGCAGTTAGAGCAAACTGGTTTTGTAACCAGGATGGGAATAGCTGTAATCAAGTCTCCCACGGGAACGGGATTAGGAAGAGTGGAGCCACCATTCAGTATCTTGGGGTCCCGTTAAATAGCTTTGGGAGGCTGTCCTTTATTAAAAGTCTGTTCTCTAGAGTGCACAGCACTCTTGGTTCTGACTTGCAAAAATTGGTTCCTTTGCCTGGTTGTGTGAACCTGGGTGGGTAAAGGACAGATGGCTGGTGAGGGAGTTACCCCAGGTGAGGTTCTGAAGACGACTTTATTCAAAACAGCTGGATTCAAAGCAGGTCTGCCGAAGCCAGCTCCTACACCAAGATCCAGGGACGGCTATAATCTGAGACCGAGTGTATTCAGGGCCACCACTGATGTGACGGGAAAACAATCAACGGGGTCTATCTTCTCTGCTTCCCAAATAAACACGATCCACCCAGCTGTGTGTCATTTACACCAAATTCAGACTTTTAAGACCAAAGACACATCTTTTTTTTTTTTTTTTTCCTCCACCAGGGATTTTCCATCTTTTTAAATGTTATTTATTTTTAGAGAGTGAGCACACGCGAGAGCACATGCACAAGCCAGGGAGGTGCAGAGAGAGGGAGAATCCCAAGCAGGATCCGTGCTCAGCGTGGAGCCTGATGCAGGGCTCAATTCCAGGACTGTGAGTTCATGACCTGAGCTGAAATCAAGAGTTGGGCTGAGCCACCCAGGCTCCCCTTGTTATTTTTATATAAGGCCACAAATGGAAGAAACTGAAGAGATACATTCAGTGGCTATGTATGATGAAGGGGAAGGCAGGCAGGGGAGGAAATGAGAAGAAAAAAAATGACCTAAACCTCCTCACCCTCCCCCTGCACTCCTGGAAGTTCTTTCCCAACTCCATGCTTCTGTGCATGTTTGTTTCCTACTCATTCTTTAAGGTTCAACCTCAAAAGTTTCTTTTGAACCCTTGACCATCTGCTTCCAGAAGTGGTCACCCTGCTTTGTTCCACCCTTTATCTTAGAATATCTTTATCATAGCACTTCATGAAATGTACTCTAATTATTTTCATCCATAGTTATCACTCCTACTAGATTGTAAGCCTGTAAGCCATCTTGGCACAATTGCTTTCTCATTATATGGTTTTGTGATACATTCAACTCTTCAGCCTGAGAACATTCTCTTATATAACTATACTACAATACACTCAAGAAATGTAACATGATACAGTACCATTTAACATACTGCCCATATTAACATTTCCCTAATTGTGCACACTAGAGCTTTTTTCACCAAGGGTCCAATCAAAGATCTACCATTAGTTGCCATGTGTCTTCCCACTGTTCCTTTTTTCTTAAGTAGGCTCCATGCCCAATGTGGGGCTTGAACTCACAACCCTGAGATTAAGAGACGCATGCTCCACTGACTAAGCCAGGCAGACATCCTTTTCCCTAGTTTTTTTTTTTTTTTTTTCTGACGGAATTTGAGGGAAAGAATTATTCTCTTTATAATTCCAGCATCCAATAGTGCAAGGTAAATAGCAAGTAGTTCACTGACATGTAATGGATGAAGAGACTCAACAAACATCTGGCTGCCTAGAGCTCATTAAATGTCCCAGCTCATTGCACAGTTGAAACGTTCTTCCTAAACGGAAAGTAATCCTTGAACAGGAAATAGGAAGGCAAAGTGAGTTAAGAATACAGAGACCAATGGCAGAAATAAGACCTGGAAATGGATGCTTGGAAGGGGTAAAATCTGGAGTAGCTTTCTTGGCTCTCACAGATTTCCCACCAGTTAAGAATTACTATTCTATTCAGGTAAAGAAAGGAACTGCAAAGGGAAACCAGGTATGCTGTGGGTACAAAAACCTGCCACAGGTACCCTTTTTACCTCACAAGAATTATTAGTAAAGAACACTGAATTCTCAGCTCACCTGGCTAACGTCAGTTGGTAGAGCATGGGACTCTTGATCTCAGGGTTGTGGGTTCAAGTCCCATGTTGGGTGTTGAGATTACTTCATCTTTTAAGTAGGCTCCACGCCCAACGTGGGACTTGAACTCATGACTCTGAGATCAAGAGTCGCATGTTCTATCAACTGAGCCAGGTAGGCGCCCCAAAAATAAAATCTTAAAAAAGAAAAAAAAAAAACCCCACTGAATTCTTAGGTCTGTTTCATCTGCCTGGAGACAGATTCCCAACCCCTTCTTTCCACATGCTTCACATAACTAAGATAACACTGTAACAACTCTGAAACCAAAGAAGGTCTAAGTTTTCAAATCTGGAAACTGAGAAGCCTTTGAACAGTGTGGTAGGGTTCAGAAGACAAAGTTCTGTAATCATTGAACAAGTGGGGCCAAAAAGAGCTAGGGATAATTTAAGATAGATCATCTTTTTTTTTTTAATTTTTTTTTTCAACGTTTTTATTTATTTTTGGGACAGAGAGAGACAGAGCATGAATGGGGGAGGGGCAGAGAGAGAGGGAGACACAGAATCGGAAACAGGCTCCAGGCTCTGAGCCATCAGCCCAGAGCCTGACGCGGGGCTCGAACTCCCAGACCGCGAGATCGTGACCTGGCTGAAGTCGGACACTTAACCGACTGCGCCACCCAGGCGCCCCTAAGATAGATCATCTTGAACTCCAGGAATAAACCACCCATGCTCTGGGAATCTGGCTGGATCCATGCTACACACCAGTTGTACAAGTTACTTCACTTTAACTTTTGTAAAATCCACCAGCTGTCACAACTGCTTTAAAATTTTCTGAAAGGAAATTATATGAAGCAAGAGGTAGCTCTAAAGTCACAAAAACAGGAACTGAAAGACAAAGTCTTGGTTGTGTCAAATGAAGGGAAGTGTTGATTATTTTGACTCCCTCGGTGACTCATGTTACCTGGTTACCATTTGAGCCAAGTTTTTAAGGTGTTAAACTAAGGAACATGACCACAGAAATGGCTTCACATCACAATCTATCAATGGGAGCAATAGCACTGTGTACAACTTAGCTGGGGCCAAGATTTGGGCCCTTGGGTCCTAAGCTACCCTCCCCTCAATTTTCTGCTTAGGAGTGCATTAGTATGTAACCACTTTCTTTGTAAGGATAAAAAGTTGCATTCTTCTGGTAGTCAGGCTCCAGAAAAATAGGAGCTTCCAAGCAGAAATGTGCTTCTAAGTGCACAAAAGCACAGAATCCTGTTCATACAATTGGCATCCGGTGCTCAGGACTTTTAAAACCAATATGCAAACTTCATATTTGCACATTGCCATAGTGATTCAGCTCCCTTTCTTTCAAGGTAGTTGAAGACAAGATAGAGTTTCTGAAATTTAAGTGCTTACTCTCCACTTCCTTTTTGAGAGAGGAAAGGGGAAAAGTACTGAAACAGTACCAAGAATCTTATCAAAACTCTTAAACTGTGGATGTTAATTCTTCTAGCTCCTTCATCTGAAAAGGTTGAGATGGGGAGATACAGTAAATGCAGTAACGAAACAGCTTACCTCAAAATTATACCAGCACATGGTGACTAAAAGAAAAATCAGGATTTTTGATTCTCACTTAAAATGTAGAAGAATTACTCCAAAGTACCACAGTAATACATTTCAAAACCCAACACCCCCGATTTCAATGAAATGGTTACTCTGAAGGGAACTATCCTTTGCCCGAGAGCAAATTAGCTTTATGGGGCTTTTGCTGGTCAACTCACTTATACTTATTTGCTCAGCTGACTTCCCTAAAAAGGCCTAAGTGGGGGGAAGAAGACAATAATCGATTAGAAAACACCCATACCACACCTTGCATTTGAATAAAAGGTTTATTATTTTCTTCTCAGAAAAAACAGGAAGTTAGGGAAACACACTACATTTTACAGCCCATGTTAATTTGTAGTTGGTCCTAACCCTTCCTGGCACAGCTGTCAATAGCATGAGCTCTTTAACCAGAACCAAGATGTTCGCCCCCAACAGAGTGTGCGCGGACACTACAGGACTGCATGTTTTCCCTGAGAGACAGAAGACAAGTTGCTGAGAGCCAGCTTTCCACACAACCCTCCCCTTCCATTCTGGAGGATTTGCCTGATCTATGCAGCTAGCCAGCACTGAGGACACGTGCCTCCTCTCCCTACAAAACCACCCAACCTTCCCCAAAGCACTTGCGCTAAGCCCTCCAGGCCCCTGACCCAAAGTTTCAACTAAGATCCTTCTCTATATTTCAGCAGTCACACCTAGAAAATTGGGGTGGGTTCCCTAAACTCCACCAATCTCCATCTATGCGCTTATTTCCACAAGTGGATATGGGGAGACAGGCCTTTTAGTCACCTTTACCAGATCTTCAGATTAATTAAAAACTACATAAAGTGCTTTCAGGTCCTTAGAGATAGACATGACATAAATAAGTGGTTCATGATCAAGAACGATAAATACATAGGTAAAAATAGCTCTAGCTAGATGACCTTATGGCTCAAGGATGGGCAGGCAGGGCAATCCTTCCCTATTTATTACATTCTTAGTCATTTTATTCATGCCTGTTTTCATCTGGAGTCCACAGACCAAAGGTTACGTTCCAAGGATGAAGCTTTCAAATGACCCTAGATCTACTACAGAAGCTTTCTTCAGTTTACCAGCTTTTATAGAACTCTGAGGTCTAACAGAACCCATCCCTTTCTGTAATTTTAAATGAGCTTTTTCAAACATAAAGGAACCTAGAGAAAGTCACACCATTTGTTGTCCCCCTTCTCTGAAAATTCCTAAAGGGACTTTAAAAACTTTTCCCCCAAAGATAGGATAAAGCAGTAACTGAAAAGGTACCAATCAAAGGAAAAGGAACTTCTCCACCACATGTCTCTCATGGTCATGGCACCCACTGTACTACCTACCACCTCCCAAGGATAAAATTCATTAAGGATGAAGGTCTGTGGTCTCCTGGGGGGTTGCTTAGGGTTCATAGTGCCAAAAACTAAAAGGGCCAGTAGGAGTTCAGAGATGGCATGGTAAGGATGTAGGAATTGATATAACTATTTGTACAGGGAGAACAAGCAGCAAATACTTCAAGGAAGTATAGAAAATAAACAGTAAGTTTGATAAAACATCAAGCCTGAAATCCAAAGAGATGCCAATGCAAAAATTTGAACAAAGTTGGGGAATCATTAAGAGAAATGAAACATAAGTATTTGTTTTATTGATAGGCTTAGACCTGTGTTTAACAAGCAAGCCTAATAATAGCACCATGGTTAGACTATAAGCCTGCTTTTCCAAGCCATTTTACAATTTATTAAGCAAACAAGGGATCAAATGTCTCTCATACACCTGATGTGATCTTTTTATACACATACTGCTAGTATGTCCCATTTGGAACAGCTGAAAATCTTTTAGCAAAAGCTTTGAAGATGAGCTCATAAACTCAATTTAAATTTCACCAGTAAATTAACTCAAATGGAAAGAACTGAAATGAGTAGCTGCCCAAT